TGTGATTAGCTGGTTATGTGATGGAGCAGTTCTGACAGGCAAACTGAGCCAATTCAGTGCTACCCCCTATCTATCCTACCTCCACCCCTATCCTCTTGCCCCTAGTTTTAGTTCTAAGCCTGCACTAACACACCTGATTCAATTAATCTACTATTCATCATCAAGCCCTTGATTTATTGGAAATGGGTATGTTAATGCTGGGCTAAAGCAAAACCCTTCACACCCTTTCCCTACCTGAGATCCAGGATCGAGGAACACTGCCCCAAACTCTTAGATAATCCACCGCAGGGGACGAGCCTCAATCTGGGGGAGAAGTATGTGGTGTGTCCCCCTCCCACCAATTCCTCTGGAGGGTCCAACATAGCCTTTATTTAAAAAAAAAAACCCAACTGCCACTATTTTATGTCCCCCTGATCTTACGGCAAATTAAAGTGTGTATTGAAGGCTTTACAGGGGCCTTAGGCCACCGGGGGGGCCATAACAATATATAGCCACCCTCAACCCCTCCCATTTATCTCTGAAGACCATCCCGTTTTGATTTCTATTTGCCATATATTTCTAATTGTGCTGTTTCACAAACGTTCTGAACCTATATACATTTTACATTTTATGGACACAGTATATTTTACATTAGTTATCTTGTTGTTTTTAGTCCCACCCTTCAGCTCCACTCAACCCCTCCAATCTAACTCTTAACACCATCCAGTTTTGATTTCTATTTGCCATATTTTTCAACTGTGCTGTGATGTTTCACAAAAGTTCTGAACCTTTCTATTTTCACAGTTTCTACATATTGTAAATTAAAGAAACATTTTTGCTAAAATTATTATAATATTATTGATTGATTGACTATGACTTTTCAAATCACCCAGCAGTGCTATTTGCAGAGTTAGCTCCAGGTAAATGTTGCAATTCTTCAGCCATTGCACACAACCCACTTTATTATTCTCAGTAAACAACTTTTTATTTGTCCATTGAAATATATTTATATGCCACCGCGTGTCTATTGCAATGCAGGCTCCGCTAAATGTAACTCTAAATGTAATGTCTTTATATCCCAGGCTAGTAGAAAGAGAAATGAAGAGTCCATCAGCACATAGTTTTATGATATTATATTCATATTTCTCACCCAGAGATCAGTGTGATAGACCAGAAGGGGGAGATTTATCATGGTCACATTGTGGATTCAGTGTAATGTAATAGAGCTGTTGGAGTACCAGGCTGCTGTCCCTCACCGTTATGTTAGCCTGGGGTCTCTGGTCCTGGAGCTACTGGGGGTGCAGGCTTTTGTTCCAGCCCCGCACTGGACCACGCTTAGGTAGTTTTAATTGGGTGTGTAAGCTAGGGTTGGGCGGTATCCAGATTTTTCATGCATACCGGGATATATTGTGTTACCGTCAGTGTACACAAGGGGCACTATATCAAATGGATTTGTTTTGACACACAAAACAAATTTAGACAGCAGGGTTCTTGATTATATAATTATGCATTATTCTCTTCCCCTCGCTCATCAACTCACCCATTCTCCCCCTTCTAACACTGACAGTGTGTTTATATAGACTTATTTAGGAAAAGTGAAGGACGGAGGGGGGCATGACTTGCGGCAGAGTAATAAAACATTATAATGAATGAGCAGTGAAATGACTGCTATAGCGGTTCTAGTGTTAAAACAGAGAGTGACATTGACATGTCTTCTTTCATCTTTCATATAGCAGCCTATCCGCTCTGAGCAGCTCTTCCTCTTTGTGTCCGGGAAGCCGGCCAAATCCTCACTGGATGCTAATGAAAAGAGCTTCTAGCCCTAACCCTTCACACTAGAATATATATATATATATATATATATATATATATATATATATTTTATTTCTTTTTTTAGTCATTTAGAAGACACTCTTATCCAGAGCGACTTACAGTTAGTGAGTGCATACATTATTTATTTATTTATTCATACTGGCCTCCCGTGGGAATCGAACCCACAACCCTGGCGTTGCAAACCAACTGAGCTACATCCCTGCCGGTCATTCCCTCCCCTACCCTGGACGACGCTGGGCCAATTGTGCGCCGCCCCATGGGTCTCCCGGTCGCGGCAGGCTACAACAGAGCATGGATTCGAACCAGGATCTCTAGTGGCGATGCAGTGCCTTAGACCACTGCGCCACTCGGGAGGCTAGAATATAACGCTAACCTTAATCCTTCACACTAGAATATAACCCTAACCCTTCACACTAGAATATAACCCAAACCCTTCACACTAGAATATAACCCTAGCCCTTCAGGCTAGAATATAACGCTAACCTTAATCCTTCACACTAGAATATAACCCTAGCCCTAACCCTTCAGGCTAGAATATAACCCTAACCCTTCACACTAGAATAGAACCCAAATCCTTCACACTAGAATAAAACCCTAGCCCTAACCCTTCAGGCTAGAATATAATGCTAACCATTCACACTAGAATATAACCCTACCCTTCAGGATATAATATAACCCTAGCCCTTCAGGCTAGAATATAACCCTAGCCCTTCAGGCTAGAATATAACCCTACCCTTCAAGCTAGAATATAACCCTAGCCCTTCAGGCTAGAATATAACCCTACCCTTCAGGCTAGAATATAACCCTAGCCCTTCAAGCTAGAATATAACCCTAGCCCTTCAAGCTAGAATATAACCCTAGCCATTCAGGCTAAAATATATCCCTACCTTTCAGGCTAGAATATATCCCTACCTTTCAGGCTAGAATATAACCCTAGCCCTTCAGTCTAGAATATAACCCTAGCCCTTCAGGCTAGAATATAACCCTACCCTTCAGGCTAGAATATAACCCTAGCCCTTCAGGCTAGAATATAACCCTAGCCCTTCAGGCTAGAATATAACCCTAGCCCTTCAAGCTAGAATATAACCCTAGCCCTTCAGGCTAGAATATAACCCTAGCCCTTCAAGCTAGAATATAACCCTAGCCCTTCAGGCTAGAATATAACCCTACCCTTCAAGATAGAATATAACCCTAGCCCTTCAGGCTAGAATATAACCCTACCCTTCAGGCTAGAATATAACCCTAGCCCTTCAAGCTAGAATATAACCCTAGCCATTCAGGCTAGAATATAACCCTACCCTTCAGGCTAGAATATAACCCTAGCCCTTCAAGCTAGAATATAACCCTAGCCCTTCAAGCTAGAATATAACCCTAGCCCTTCAGGCTAAAATATATCCCTACCTTTCAGGCTAGAATATAACCCTAGCCCTTCAGTCTAGAATATAACCCTAGCCCTTCAGGCTAGAATATAACCCTACCCTTCAGGCTAGAATATAACCCTAGCCCTTCAGGCTAGAATATAACCCTAGCCCTTCAGGCTAGAATATAACCCTAGCCCTTCAGCTAGAATAAACCCTAGCCCTTCAAGCTAGAATATAACCCTAGCCCTTCAGGCTAGAATATAACCCTAGCCCTTCAGGCTAGAATATAACCCTACCCTTCAGGCTAGAATATAACCCTAGCCCTTCAGTCTAGAATATAACCCTAGCCCTTCAGGCTAGAATATAACCCTACCCTTCAGGCTAGAATATAACCCTAGCCCTTCAGGCTAGAATATAACCCTAGCCCTTCAGGCTAGAATATAACCCTAGCCCTTCAAGCTAGAATATAACCCTAGCCCTTCAGGCTAGAATATAACCCTAGCCCTTCAAGCTAGAATATAACCCTAGCCCTTCAGGCTAGAATATAACCCTAGCCCTTCAGGCTAGAAAAGGGAGAGAGATACTTTGTTTTGGTATGTGTGTATGTATCTGTTTGGGTGATTGTGCGTGTGTGTTGACGTGAATGTATTTGACAGTGCTGCTCCCTCCCAGTGCTTGGTAATATAATATACTGTTCACACACACCTCAGGACAGTCTCCTAACACAAACTTGACCCGACCCATCTCTTTACCCATCAGCCTTATGAAGTCCCTCTACCATATGTTCCCTCTCCTCGTTCCTAGCTTCCTCCCTTTCCTTCATCCCTCCTCCTCTCTTCTTGTAAAGTAAGACTCCACATCGCTCGCCTCCAGCTTTGTCCCTTGCCGTGTGTGGATTACCCATGGTGAGAGAGGGGAGCCCAGGTGGGTCTCCATGCCTGTGTGTGTTTCTCTCACTCTGCTAGCTATAATGACGGCCCCTGGGGGAAGTAGTTTAGTGGTCTTACCGTTTTAGAGGGATCTCTTTCCTCCACATGATTTAAAGGTAGCCTGCAGTAGAAATAAATAAATAAATAAAATAAATAAATCATAAACACAGACACACACACACACACACACAGACATATACACACAAGGGAGCAACGGTGGTGAGAAGACCTCACAGAACTGTGTGTTGTGGACAATAAGAGTGCTATTTCACTCCCAACACATAAACACACACACACATACAAACACACACATGCAAAAGCACCCTACTCTGTCAGCACCCTATTCTGGTGTAGAGGGTTAACTTACATACTGATCCTGTGGAACATGGAAACATCTGTAGCTCGTCACTAAGCTTTTACCTCTCTAATCGCTGTGAAGAAGATACACACACACACACACACACACACACACACACACACACTTTCACACAGTGAGTCCATCCGTCTGCTCCACCACCGATAGGGTTTTGGAGGTCACCTGTCAATCAAAAAGTAGTGTCCACCTGTCAGCCGGCCCAGCGTGCATTGCATGCCTGCTCCCTAAACTGGTGTATGCACCGTTGGTGGCTGTCACAGACACCGCTAGACAGGAACGACACTCCAGGACACCCGCTGCTTCAACAACACGCTGCAGTAGAAAGAAAGCACACACACACACACACACTTTCAGCCTCTGGAACTTTTAAATGTAATTAAATGTAATTTAGTTTTCAGTCCATATGTGTGCATACATATCTTTGTGGTGTGCACTGCATTGTTTTAATATGATTTGAAAGGCTAACAACATTCTCTATCTCCTTTCCCTCCATCTCCCCCTCCCCCTATTCTCTCTCTCTAGGTGAGCAGGGTACCAGTAGAGAGCTGTGAACAGTACTCCACCTGTGGCCAGTGCCTGGGCTCCAAAGACCCCCACTGTGGCTGGTGTGTCCTCCACAACGTGTAAGTACCCAGACTGTACCTTCGGTCTACACACTCTCACTCATATGCAGCTATCTCTGGGTGCATGCTGTACTGTCACTCATATACAGCTACTCTGTGTACATGCTGTACTGTCACCCATATACAGCTATCTCTGGGTACATGCTGTATTGTCACCCATATACAGCTATCTCTGGGTACATGCTGTACTGTCACTCATATACATCTATCTCTGGGTACATGCTGTACTGTCACTCATATACAGTTATCTCTGGGTACATGCTGTACTGTCACTCATATACAGCACTACTCTGTGTACATGCTGTACTGTCACCCATATACAGCTACTCTGGGTACATGATGTACTGTCACTCATATACAGCTATCTCTGGGTACATGATGTGCTGTCACCCATATACAGCTATCTCTGGGTACATGCTGTACTGTCACTCATATACAGCTATCTCTGGGTACATGCTGTTCTGTCACTCATATACAGCTATATCTGTGTACATGCTGTACTGTCACTCATATACAGCTATCTCTGGGTACATGCTGTACTGTCACTCATATACAGCTATACCTGGGTACATGCTGTACTGTCACTCATATACAGCTATCTGTGGGTACATGCTGTACTGTCACTCATATACAGCTATCTGTGGGTACATGCTGTACTGTCACTCATATACAGCTATCTCTGGGTACATGCTGTTCTGTCACTCATATACAGCTATCTCTGGGTACATGCTGTACTGTCACCCATATACAGCTATCTCTGGGTACATGCTGTACTGTCACTCATATACAGCTATCTCTGGGTACATGCTGTACTGTCACTCATATACAGCTATCTTTGGGTACATGCTGTGCTGTCACCCATATACAGCTATCTCTGGGTACATGCTGTACTGTCACTCATATACAGCTATCTCTGGGTACATGCTGTTCTGTCACTCATATACAGCTATCTCTGGGTACATGCTGTACTGTCACTCCAGTTATATGTTTCCAATGCCTGAGTATGAGTGTGTCCCGATAGTCTAACAGAGTACCTGTCTCCTTTCTGTTGTCTGCACTGTGAAGTGGATAAAGGGCTAAACAAATCTTTAGGTAGTTCTCCATTGGCTTTAACCTGTCAGGCTCTCACAGATGAGAGGTCTTGTGGGCAAGACTGATGAGGAAAGGAGGCCACCTGTTAGCATTGGGACTCAGGCTCTGTGTTAGCTAGCCTTAATGCTATCCTCCGAAGTGAAAGCCTTAGCTATTTGCCAGCACATGAAAATCCATGTTGATACTGTCTTCTATCTTTTATAAGATCTTAAGATGAATGAATAAACTTGCTAGTAGCAGATGGTAGTGCTGAGCATGCCAGGTGTCCTTGTTGAAACCCCACATATGTTGGAGTGTTACTTTTCCTCTCAGTGTGTTGCGCTACAGCAGAGTGTTTTAGCTTGCTAGTCATTGTGTTACACACTGTACAGTAGGCATAGTCAATGGTGTTTTTGACACATGTGTGAGTGTTTTTCCTCTATGAGCGTCGAGAGGTGTTGTGTGTGTATGGGTGACCGTGATGCAGTGTGTGTGTGTATTGGGGATGTGAGAGAGAGTGTGTGTGTGTGTTTGGGGATTTGAGAGGGTGTGTGTGTGTATGGGGGAGGTGAGAGGGTGTGTGTGTATGGGGGAGGTGAGAGGGTGTGTGTGTGTATGGGGAGGTGAAGGGTGTGTGTGTGTATGGGGGAGGTGAGAGGGTGTGTGTGTATGGGGGAGGTGAGAGGGTGTGTGTGTATGGGGGAGGTGAGAGGTGTGTGTGTGTGTGTGTGTATGGGGGAGGTGAGAGGGTGTGTGTGTGTTGGGGTATGGGGTGGGTGTTGGGTGAGGGGGTGTGGTGTGTGTGTTATGGGGGAGGTGAGAGGGTGGGTGTGTGTATGGGGAGTGGGGTGTGTTGTGTGTGTTGGGGGAGGTGAGAGGGTGTTGTGTGTGGTGAGTGGTCGGTGATTGTAATTGAGGACGCGGACGAGACAGGAAAGGTGACGGAAACACAATCAGAATCGACTCAAGATGTTACTGACCTCCAGTCACAATCAAGATCGACTCAAGATGTTACTGACCTCCAGTCACAATCAGGATCGACTCGAGACATTACTGACCTCCAGTCACAATCAAGATCGACTCAAGATGTTACTGACCTCCAGTCACAATCAGGATCGACTCGAGACATTACTGACCTCCAGTCACAATCAAGATCGACTCGAGATGTTACTGACCTCCAGTCACAATCAAGATCGACTCGAGACGTTATTGACCTCCAGTCACAATCAAGATCGACTCGAGACGTTACTGACCTCCAGTCACAATCAGGATCGACTCGAGACATTACTGACCTCCAGTCACAATCAAGATCGACTCGAGATGTTACTGACCTCCAGTCACAATCAAGATCGACTCGAGACGTTACTGACCTCCAGTCACAATCAGGATCGACTCGAGACATTACTGACCTCCAGTCACAATCAAGATCGACTCGAGACATTACTGACCTCCAGTCACAATCAAGATCGACTCGAGACGTTACTGACCTCCAGTCACAATCAGGATCGACTCGAGACATTACTGACCTCCAGTCACAATCAAGATCGACTCGAGATGTTACTGACCTCCAGTCACAATCAGGATCGACTCGAGACATTACTGACCTCCAGTCACAATCAAGATCGACTCGAGACGTTACTGACCTCCAGTCACAATCAGGATCGACTCGAGACATTACTGACCTCCAGTCACAATCAAGATCGACTCGAGATGTTACTGACCTCCAGTCACAATCAGGATCGACTCGAGACATTACTGACCTCCAGTCACAATCAAGATCGACTCGAGATGTTACTGACCTCCAGTCACAATCAAGATCGACTCGAGACGTTATTGACCTCCAGTCACAATCAAGATCGACTCGAGACGTTACTGACCTCCAGTCACAATCAGGATCGACTCGAGACATTACTGACCTCCAGTCACAATCAAGATCGATTCGAGATGTTACTGACCTCCAGTCACAATCAAGATCGACTCGAGACGTTACTGACCTCCAGTCACAATCAGGATCGACTCGAGACATTACTGACCTCCAGTCACAATCAAGATCGACTCGAGATGTTACTGACCTCCAGTCACAGAGCGTTTGACCTTCCCTCCTCCTCGCAGAAACGGAGCGCTCCACTTATTCTGCTCATATCCCATTGGATAGCGTCCCTCAATCAATTTTTACCCCCCCCCCACCACTCAGAATGATAGGTATTTAAGACATGTTTTTCACCCTGTGGCATTTTCTCCCGCAGTAGCTTATTAGTCATATTTGTCTCGTTCGTCAGCCGTGCAGTTCTCGACACTGTAGGAGAGCGGTCCAAGAAGCAAAGCTAAAGTGATATTAACTGAGACGCACACACATGAATGCTTATAATATGCACATGCATAAAGCTGCATGCACTCGTGCACACTCTGTTCAACTCTCCAGGGGTCAAGAAGGGGTCAGAGAGAAGGCCTGTTCAACTCTCCAGGGTTCTCTTTAGGGAGTAATGCGGTCCACAAGCAATATCACCATGACTTCTCTCTGTGTATGTGTGTTAGTGTGTGTACACGTGTGTGTGTGTGTGTGTGTGTGTGAGAGAGTCAGTGGGGAGGGTTGAGAGACCGTATTCTGCTGAGTGGGAAGGTTGGTATACCAAGGCTAAGATGAGGCACTTTGCATTGTGGGAAGGTTGGTATACCAAGGCTAAGATGAGGCACTTTGCATTGTGGGAAGGTTGGTATACCAAGGCTAAGATGAGGCACTTTGCATTTTTCTCTCCTTTTATTGTGCATTGCTGAGGCAGTGTCAGTTCAGAGACGTTGTTTTGTTATGAAGAGGTGGTAGTGTAAATTGGAACATTGGTGTGTGTTTTTTTTTTTTTTCTGGTTGTGCAGATGGCTGATCATATGGAAGATGTTTCTGACCTTATTGAGAGATGTGTGTGTGCGCCTGTGGGGTTTTTAGGCTAATGGTATATCATTTTCACATTTACATTTTAGTCATTTAGCTGACGCCCTTATCCAGAGCAACTTACAGGAGCAATTAGGGTTAAGTGCCTTGCTCAAGGGCACGTCATCAGATTTTTAACCTAGTTGGTTTGGGTATTCAAACCAGTGACCTTTCGGTTACTGGCCCAACGCTCTTAACCACTAGGCTACCTTAACCACTAGGCTACCTTAACCACTAGGTTACCTTAACCACTAGGTTACCTTAACCACTAGGTTACCTTAACCACTAGGCTACCTTAACCACTAGGTTACCTTAACCACTAGGTTACCTTAACCACTAGGTTACCTTAACCACTAGGCTACCTTAACCACTAGGCTACCTTAACCACTAGGTTACCTTAACCACTAGGTTACCTTAACCACTAGGCTACCTTAACCACTAGGTTACCTTAACCACTAGGCTACCTTAACCACTAGGCTACCTTAACCACTAGGCTACCTGCTGCTCATTGATATCACTCTATTCATGCACCAAATACATTTGGGGGGTGTGTTTGTATTTATGTGTGTGTGTAATTTCTGACCTTCTCTTCTCTAGGTGTTCCCGTAAGGACAGATGTGAGAGAGCAGATGAACCCCAGCGGTTTGCCTCAGACCAGCGTCAGTGTGTGGAGCTCAGTGTTCAGCCCAAGAACATCTCTGTCACCATGTCCCAAGTCCAGGTGTGTGTGAAAGAGAGAGTGTGTGTGTATTGATACAGTAACTGTATATAAATATGTGTTTATGTAGATACACACCAGTAACTGTGTGGCATGCCAATAAGTAGCTAACTACGTGCTTGTCTCATTAAAGACCTTAACATGTTCTTCACACTAACCTTGCCACAAAGTCCCCAGTCCTCACATTAGCGCTCAATATATTCCAGGACTACGTTCCAAATATCCACACTAGCCTACCACTTTTATATTCAAGTATTGTGATGGCAGCATCATGTTATAGATATGCTTGTCACCGGCAGGGACTGTGGAGTTTGTCAGGATCAAAACAAATATGAAAGTAACAAAGCCCATGTAAAAAGTTGGAGGAAAACCCACCTCTGTTTTCTGAAAACTCCAATCCTGCGACAGCGTGACATTTACACATATTTGACTCCTAAAGACACCAGCATGGCTTTCCAAGAGGTGTTATGAGTTCCTGAGTGGTCCAGTCTCAGTCCTGACTCAGAAACAAGGTTGGAATACTGCTGTCCAACAATGATTCCCAACCAAATGTACTGATCTTGAGGAATTATGACAAAAACCATGGATATTCTTCACAATGATTCACAGCTATAATTGCTGCCAAAGGTGCTTCCACCAAGTATTAACTACACGATGAAAGGTATGTGGACACCTGCTCATTGAACATCTCATTCCAAAATCATTGGCATTAATATGGAGTTGGTCCCCCCTTTGCTGCTATATCAGCCTCCACTCTTCTGGGAAGGCTTTCCACTAGATGTTAGAACATTGCTCCGGGGACGTGCTTCCATTCAGCCACAAGAGCATTAGTGAGGTTTGGCACTGATGTTGGGCAATTAGGGCTGGCTCGCAGTCGGCATTCCAATTCATCCCAAAGGTGTTAGATGGGGTTGAGGTCAGTGCTCTGTGCAAGCCAGTCAAGTTCTTCCACACCGATCTTGACAAACCATTTCTGTATGGACCTCACTTTGTGTACTGGGGCATTGTCTTGCTGAAACAAGAAAGGGCCTTCCCCAAACTGTTGCCACAAAGTTGGAAGCACATAATTGTCTAGAATGTCATTGTATGCTGTACCGTTAAGATTTCCATGAAAAACAGCCCCAGACCATTATTCCTCCTCCGCCCAACTTTACAGTTGGCACTATGCATTCGGGCAGGTAGCGTTCTCCTGGCATCCGCCAAAACCAGATTTGTCCGTCGGACTGCCAGATGGTGAAGTGTGATTCATGTGCGGCTGCTCGGCCAACAAAAAGTTTTTGTGCTGACGTTGCTTCCAGAGGCAGTTTGGACAGACAATTTTGTGCTTCAGTGCTCGGCGTCCCCGTTCTGTGAGTGGCCTACCACTTCGCAGCTGAGCCATTGTTGCTCCTAGACGTTTCCATGTCACAATAACAGCACTTACAGTTGACCGGGGCAGCTATAGCAGGGCAGAAATTTGACGAACTGACTTGTTGGGAAGGTGGCATCCTATGACGGTGCCACTTTGAAAGTCACTGAGCTCTTCAGTAAGGCCATTCTTCTGCCAATGTTTGTTAATGGAGATTGCATGGCCGTGTGCTCGATTTTATACACCTGTCAGCAACAGGTGTGGCTGAAATGGCCGAATCCACAAATTTGAAGGGGTGTCCACATACTTTCGTATATACAGTGGGGAGAACAAGTATTCGATACACTGCCAATTTTGCAGGTTTTCCTACTTACAAAGCATGTAGAGGTCTGCAATTTTTATCATATGTACACTTCAACTGTGAGAGACGGAATCTAAAACAAAAATCCAGAAAATCACACTGTATGACTTTTAAGTAATTAATTTGCATTTCATTGCATGACATAAGTATTTGATCACCTACCAACCAGTAAGAATTCCGTCTCTCACAGACCTGTTTGTTTTTCTTTAAGAAGCCCTCCTGTTCTCCACTCATTACCTGTATTAACTGCACCTGTTTGAACTCGTTACCTGTATAAAAGACACCTGTCCACACACTCAATCAAACAGACTCCAACCTCTCCAAAATGGCCAAGACCAGAGAGCTGTGTAAGGACATCAGGGATAAAATTGTAGACCTGCACAAGGCTGGGATGGGCTACAGGACAATAGGCAAGCAGCTTGGTGAGAAGGCAACAACTGTTGGCGCAATTATTAGAAAATGTAAGAAGTTCAAGATGACGGTCAATCACCCTCGGTCTGGGGCTCCATGCAATATCTCACCTCGTGGGGCATCAATGATCATGAGGAAGGTGAGGGATCAGCCCAGAACTACACGGCAGGACCTGGTCAATGACCTGAAGAGAGCTGGGACCACAGTCTCAAAGAAAACCATTAGTAACACACTACGCCGTCATGGATTAAAATCCAGCGCAAGCCAGCGCATGTCCAGACCCGTCTGAAGTTTGCCAATGACCATTTGGATGATCCAGAGGAGGAATGGAAGAAGGTAATGTGGTCTGATGAGATAAAAATAGAGCTTTTTGGTCTAAACTCCACTCGCCGTGTTTGGAGGAAGAAGAAGGATGAGTACAACCCCAAGAACACCATCCCAACCGTGAAGCATGGAGGTGGAAACATCATTCTTTGGGGATGCTTTTCTGCAAAGGGGGCAGGTTGACTGCACCGTATTGAGGGGAGGATGGATGGGGCCATGTATCGCGAGATCTTGGCCAACAACCTCCTTCCCTCAGTAAGAGCATTGAAGATGGGTCGTGGCTGGGTCTTCCAGCATGACAACGACCCAAAACACACAGCCAGGGCAACTAAGGAGTGGCTCCGTAAGAAGCATCTCAAGGTCCTGGAGTGGCCTAGCCAGTCTCCAGACCTGAACCCAATAGAAAATCTTTGGAGGGAACTGAAAGTCTGTATTGCCCAGCGACAGCCCCGAAACCTGAAGGATCTGGAGAAGTTCTGTATGGAGGAGTTGGCCAAAATCCCTGCTGCAGTGTGTGCAAACCTGGTCAAGACCTACAGGAAACGTATGATATCTGTAATTTCAAACAAAGGTTTCTGTACCAAATATTAAGTTCTGCTTTTCTGATGTATCAAATACTTATGTCATGCAATAAAATGCAAATTAATTACTTAAAAATCATACAATGTGATTTTCTGGATTTTTGTTTTAGAATTCCGTCTCTCACAGTTGAAGTGTACCTATGATAAAAATTACAGACCTCTACATGCTTTGTAAGTAGGAAAACCTGCAAAATTGGCAGTGTATCAAATACTTGTTCTCCCCACTGTATAGTTTATATTACATGTCCATCCATTAAACCCTTGGTGTTTTGACATGTATTTCATATCTCCACAATATCTGTCTTAAGAATATATGCCCTATATTCCATTGATTTGTCCCAAGCTGGTGCTGGAGGCGCGTAACGTCCCTGACCTCTCTGCGGGGGTCAACTGCTCCTTCGGGGGATACGTGGAGACGGAGGGGCGCATCCAGGGGAGCCACATCTACTGCTTGTCCCCCTCGGCTCACAATGTCATCCCCATCACCCGCAACAAAGGTGAGAACGCCGCCCGGACCCTGCCGCCTCTGGCGCACACTGATGGTGTCATAATGTCACAGCCCACTCCTCCCCCCTTAGAAAATAGAAAAGAAAAAGGCTTTTATGCCAATGATGATATCACACGCCTGTGGGCTCATCACAGTCAGTGGAGGCTGGTAAATGGAGTAGTGGCTGGAATAAAATAAATGGTACGGTGTTAATGTATTTGATAACATTCCAATCATTCCATTCCAGCCTGTCCTTACAATCCTACAGTCTCCCTCCTCCTCATCTTCGCAATAGCTTCGCCTTGACCAGAATTGCACATTTCATGGCTTTATTTACATAACTCAATAATACTTTCTGAGTTTCTCTGTAACTACCAATCTTTCCCCCCCTAATTGCTCCCCAAAGCATCAATATTCTATATTCATCCTCTCCAATATGACATGTTTAAGATAGTTCAGAAGCAGTTCCATTGCCATGCGTTATGCATCTTTATCAGTTCTAATGCAATCATGCCACAATGATACCACTGTTGCCTGTGATGTCTCTTCAAAGCTTGGAGATGAAGGAGACGTATGTATTTAGATTCCCAGAAGTGATGTGTTTAGACTTGAGAGTTCCTAAAGCAGATTTCTTATCCGCCATTATGTATTGTTATCGGCTTTAATGCAATCTAATGGTCCCTGTGACGCTAAGAGCAATTTTTACCTGACTTATTCTCTCCATAGTCTCCAATGCATGACATAAGTGTAATGTTGCTAAGTGATGTGCGTGTCTCCGTAGGGGACAAGCGCATGGTGAAGCTCTACCTCAAGTCCAAGGAGACGGGCAAGACATTCGCCGGCGTGGACTTTGTATTCTACAACTGCAGCGTGCACTCGTCGTAAGTTTTCTAAATTGTTTTGTTTTTCTGTAATGTCTTTAAAAACTTGTGTACTTTTTTTGTTATTTCATTTTTTTTGTTTTGGGCTTTCTCCCTTCTCCCCTTCTCTTCCATCAGTTCTGTTTTCCCCTCGGTCCTCTTGTTACACTGCCCCTGAGAGGATGCAGTGAGCCTGCACACACACACGCAAACACACACACACACACACATCCCCACCCCCCTGTAACCTCTGTGCACCTAGGTGGCTCATGTTACCATCACTGAGTAAAAATCTAACCCTCCATATATGACGAGACACCGAGATTCAAGATGGTAATACAAAAGGTTAATACATATCAAAATCTGCCCAAAATAAGCTTTGTGTCGTGGTTAGTGTTTATGTAACCTCTTTTCAATTGCTACTGCGTATGGGGGCTCGTCCGGGATCTTGTTTCCTATTAGTATGGTAGTTGCTTTAATCACCTACTCTGAAGCTCTGCTGTGCAGATATTTGAGTGTTCAAAATACACTTTTGTGGTAGTTTCTGTCACTGACATCCACCCGGAGGGGTTATAAGATTGGTTGTCAATTTGAAAGTTGCATAAACACACAGGCTAATAAATTAAAAAACCCATGGACTTTAAGTTGGAAGCATTTGTGGAAAACCCTACATGGGAGATGCTAGATAAATGTACGAAGGTGAATCTGCGCATTATTGCAAAGCATTATGACTTCAAAGTTGCACATGCTGAATCGAAAGCAGTAGTCAAACACTTAGTCAATACTGCTTTGGTGCAAATTAGTTTTTAATCTTCAACATAGGAATGCTACCAAAAATTATTTAATGAAACTGGTTACAATTGACACAGTCACCCATGATTCACCAAATTATATTTTGAAGGAGGAAACAAAGTACTTTAAGCATATGTTTTCGTTTCAGTCGCCCCCATCTCCTCTAACTGAAGCTAATTGTAGAGATTTTTTGTTTCTTTCTATTGATAATGTAAAATTAACAGCCATAAAGAAAGACTGATGTGAAGGTGAAATTACAGAGGAGGAACTTCTGGATGCAATTAAAGACTTTAAGTTCGGGAAAACTCCAGGGTTGGATGGCATACCAGTCGAGGTATACCAAACCTTTTTTGATATACTAAGAGGACCGTTATTAGCATGTTTTAACCATTCCTATGTAAATGGTGGATTATCTGACACTCTAGAAGAAGGTCTGATCTCATTATTACTGAAACAGGATACAAGTGGAAAATATGAAGATCCAGTCCATTTAAAATATTGGAGGCCCCTTACACTTCAGTGTTGTGATGCAAATATTCTAGAAAATGTATAAAACATTAGAATTAAAAAGGTGTTGTCGGATACTATACATTCTAATCAGACAGGCTTTTTACATGGAAGATACATTGGAGATAATATAAGGCAAGTATTGGAAACAATAGAACACTATGGAAAATCTGGGAAATCAGGCCTGCTATTCATAGCAGACTGCGAAAAGGCATTTGATGAAGTACAACTGGGGTTTATATATATATATATATATATATATAAACCCCAGTTGTACTTTATCAAATGCCTTTTCACAGTCTGCTATGAATAGCATATATATATATATATATATATATATATATATATATATATATATATATATATACACACACACACACACACACACACACACACATATATATATATATATATATATATATATATATATATATATATATATATATATATATATATATATATATATACACACACACACACACAGTAGGGGAAAAAAAATATTTAGTCAGCCACCAATTGTGCAAGTTCTCCCACTTAAAAAGATGAGAGAGGCCTGTAATTTTCATCATAGGTACACGTCAACTATGACAGACAAATTGAGAAGAAAAAAAATCCAGAAAATCACATTGTAGGATTTTTAATGAATTTATTTGCAAATTATGGTGGAAAATAAGTATTTGGTCACCTACCAACAAGCAAGATTTCTGGCTCTCACAGACCTGTAACTTCTTCCCAGGCTGGGAAGACAAAGCCTACCATCAGTAACACAGTACGCCGCCAGGGACTCAAATCCTGCAGTGCCAGACGTGTCCCCCTGCTTAAGCCAGTACATGTCCAGGCCCATCTGAAGTTTGCTAGAGTGCATTTGGATGATCCAGAAGAGGATTGGGAGAATGTCATATGGTCAGATGAAACCAAAATAGAACTTTTTGGTAAAACCTCAACTTGTCATGTTTGGAGGACAAAGAATGCTGAGTTGCATCCAAAGAACACCATACCTACTGTGAAGCATGGGGGTGGAAACATCATGCTTTGGGACTGTTTTTCTGCAAAGGGACCAGGACGACTGATCCGTGTAAAGGAAATAATGAATGTGGCCATGAATCGTGAGATTTTGAGTGAAAACCTACTTCCATCAGCAAGGGCATTGAAGATGAAACGTGGCTGCGTCTTTCATCATGACAATGATCCCAAACACACCGCCCGGGCAACGAAGGAGTGGCTTCGTAAGAAGCATTTCAAGGTCCTGGAGTGGCCTAGCCAGTCTCCAGATCTCAACCCCATAGAAAATCTTTGGAGGGAGTTGAAAGTCCGTGTTGCCCAGCGACAGCCCCAAAACATCACTGCTCTAGAAGAGATCTGCATGGAGGAATGGGCCAAAATACCAGCAACAGTGTGTGAAAACCTTGTGAAGACTTACAGAAAACGTTTGACCTGTGTCATTGCCAACAAAGGGTATATTAGAAAGTGTTGAGAAACTTTTGTTATTTGACCAAATACGTATTTTCCACCATAATTTGCAAATAAATTCATAAAAAATCCTACAATGTGATTTTCTGGAGAGAAAAAAAATCTAATTTTGTCTGTCATAGTTCACGTGTACCTATGATGAAAATTACAGGCCTCTCTCATCTTTTTAAGTGGGAGAACTTGCACAATTGGTGGCTGACTAAATATTTTTTTCCCCCACTGTATTTTCAAGTTCTGCTTTTCTGATGTATCAAATACTTGTGGCATGCAATAAAATGCAAATTAATTACTTAAAAATCATACGTGATTTTCTGGATTTTTGTTTTAGATTCCATCTCTCACATTTGAAGTGTACCTATGATAAAAATTACAGACCTCTACATGCTTTGTAAGTAGGAAAACCTGCAAAATTGGCAGTGTATCAAATACTTGTTCTCCCCACTGTGTGTGTGTGTGTGTGTAAGTGTATGTGTATATGTATATATATATATATATATATATCATTTATAAAAACATACAAATATGGGGGATTGGAAGTGATGCAGACAATTACATTTGTGGAAGTTACAATCTATCTGCAATATTAAGCTGATCTACCCCCAAAAAAATACTGCTTTGGTGGAGGAGGAAATCCTTCCGGAGATGGAGGATGATGAAAAGGGTCCTACGGGTGGTAGAGTACACCTCATAGACATACAACTGTGAGAGGTAGAACTAAAGACAAAATGGGAACAACAGAAATTGTAGCTCGAGGACAGCGAAAGAAAATGTGCAGCCAGACTAGAACAAGAAGAACTTGCGCGTGCCATTCAATTAAAAGAGATGGAGCTGGAAGCACGACAAAGGGAGATAGATCTGGACGTACTCCGACTCAAATCAGGCTATCATGCACCCTCCACAGAGTTTGATATTGGTCTTAACAGCCGGCTTGTACCACCTTTCAACAAAAAGGAGGTAGATGTAAATTTTACTCTGTTTGAGCGGATTGCCACATCCCTAAAATGTCCGCCAGACATTTGGTCACTGCTCCTCCAAAGTGTTCTTGTGGGAAAATCTCAGTGTATGCCGCTTTATCTCTTGACCACAGTTCAGATTATGAGACTGTTAAAGCTGCTATCCTTCACCCTTACGAGTTGGTCCCAGAGGCATACAGACAAGAGTTGAGTAAATTACAAAAGACAGAATCACAAAGCCATGTTGAGTTCGCAAGGGAACAAGCTTATCTTTTTGGTCGGTGGTGTGGTCCTCAAGAGTTCAAGGACCTTAAAGATTTAAAGACACTTCTCGAGCATTTCAATGATTGCCTTCACGAAAGAGTTGCTACCTACTTTAAAGTGCATTCGGAAAGTATTCAGACCCCTTGACTCAGTAATTTGTTGAAGCACCTTTGGCAGCGATTACAGCCTAGAGGCTTCTTGGGTATGATGCTACAAGCCAATTTATTTTCTGCAGATCCTCTCATGCTCTGTCAGGTTAGATGGGGAGCCTTGCTGCACAGCTATTTTCAGGTCTCTCCAGAGATGTTCGTTCAGGTTCTAGTCTGGACTCTGGCTGGGTCACTCAAGGACATTCAGAGACTTGTCCCGAAGCCACTCCTGCGTTGTCTTCGCTGTGTGCTTAGGGTCGTTGTGCTATTGGAAGGTGAACCTTCACCCCACTCTGGAGCAGGTCTTCATCAAGGATCTCTGTACTTTGCTCCGTTCATCTTTGCCTCGATGCTGACTAGTCTTCCAGTCCCTGCCACTGAAAAACATCCCCACAGCATGATGCTGCCACCACCATGATTCACCGTAGTGTTGGTGCCAGGTTTCCTTCAGATGTGACGCTTGGCATTCAGGCCAAAGAGTTCAATCTTGGTTTCATCAGACCAGAGAATCTTGTTTCTCATGGTCAGAGTCCTTTAGGTGCCTTTTGGCAAACACCAAGTGGGTTGTCATGTGCCTTATACTGAGGAGTGGCTTCCGTCTGGCCACTCAACCATAAAGGCCTGATTGGTGGAGTGCTGCAGAAATGTTTGTCCTTCTGGAAGGTTCTCCCATCTCCACAGAGGAACTCTAAAGCACTGTCAGAGTGACCATCAGATTCTTGGTCACCTCCCTGACCAAGGTCATTTTCCCCCGATTGCTCAGTTTGGCCGGACGGCCAGCTCTAGGAAGAGTCTTCTGGTTCCAAACTTCTTCCATTTAAGAATGATGGAGACCACTGTGTTCTTGGGGACCTTCAATGCTGCAGACATTTTTTGGTACCCTTCCCCAGATCTGTGCCTCAGCACAATCCTGTCTCGGAGCTCTACAGACAATTCCTTCGACCTCATGGCTTGATTTTTGCTCTGACATGCACTGTCAACTGTGGGACCTTATATAGACAGGTGTGTGCCTTCCCAAATCATGTCCAATCATTTGAATTTACCACAGTTGGACTCCAATGAAGTTGTAGAAACATCTCAAGGATGATCAATGGAAACAGGATTCACCAGAGCTCAATTTCGAGGTCTGAATACTTATGTAAATAAGGTATTTCTGTTTTTCTTTCAATATGTTTACAAAGATTTCTAAAAACCTGTTTTTGATTTGTCCTTATGGGTTATTTTTGTGTAGGTTGCTGAGGAAAAACCTTTATTTAATCAATTTTAGAATGAGGACGTAACATAACACAATCTGAATACTTTCTGAAGGCACTCTATGAGCACAAGGATCTCACTCTTGAGAAAGCTGCAGTCCTTGCAGATGAGTTTGTGTTGACACGTAAAACTACCTTCACAAAGCACCCAGTAGTTATCCCTATGCAAAAAGCAATCCAGAGAAGTCATCTCCTACTGCGCGGTGTCATTCCTTTTCTACAGTGCCCAAAGGTAAAGATTTGCAGATATTTATTTTTATAAATTTTTTTGTATCTGCCAATTTGTCATTACTGCCATGAGAAAGGACACATTATCTCTGTGTTCTAAGTTGAAACAGAAACATGAGAGCACTCCAGCTATTAAGTCTCTGGTTGGGACTGGTTTGTCTCCTAAATAAGATTTTGGATCAGATGTATATGAACCCTTTGTTTCAGATGGGTTTGTGTCTCTGCAGAGTGGTGATGCTGTTAAGCAGCTGATGAAGATACTGCGAGACACTTTGGCAGCCTAGTCCTTCATTTTGAGGGTGTTTTGCCTTTCTCTGACTCATCAGCAAGTGTATAGGGTGTGTTAGTATAAGGCATGGAGATGGGTTGCATGGAAGTTTCTTTGTATAATGTGGAACTCGAGTCTGATCTTATTTCTGGTTCCGTGTCATTGGAGTGAGGCCTAGCCTACCGATGAAGGGGGTCTCATTCATTTTGGGGAAACATTTTGGCTGGAGTGAAGGTCGTTCCAAATCCTGTCGTTTGTAAGGAACCCAGAGTTGAGGAACCTGATGGGTTATCAGAAAAGTACCCTAAAGTGTTCCCAGCATGTGCCGTTACACATGCTATGTCTAAGAATGTCACCGAGAGCAAGTCTAGTGTTGAGGAGGATGTCAGCGATCCCAGCATGGTCGATCTGTCTGAGACATTTATGGGTGATCCTGATTTCGGTCAACCCTTTGAAAACCCCAAAGGTGAGCAACTTTGTAAGGACCGCTGAATGAAGAGAGGATCCCTACAGTTGACACTTCGATGTCTAGGAAGAAGCTGATAGTTGAACAGAGTAAAGATGTCTCCCTCTCTCCTCTTTTTGCTGAGATACGTCCAGAGGAGGAGTTGAAGTTTTGGGGGGTTACTTTGACAGAGATGGTGTTCTAATGAGGAAATGGTGTTCTCGCGCCAGTTCTGGGCAAAACAATTGCCCCAGTGTATCTCGAATTGTCGTTACAGTTACGTTTCGACAAGAGATACTGAGGTTGGCTCACGATGGTAGAATGGCAGGCCATCTTGGGGTCAATAAGACTTATGACCGTATCTTGCGTAACTTCTTCTGGCCTGGTCTGAAACCGGATGTTGTGTCTTATTGTTTGTCAGCGGACGGGTATACCGAACCAAGCCGTACCGGTTGTACCTTTGCAGCCTATTCCTGCTTTTGACTAACCTTTCAGCAGGGTTCTGGTGGACTGTGTTGGTCCTTTGCCCAAAGCATAGAGTGGTAACCGATTTCTCTTAACCATTATGTGCGATGTCACTCGTTTCCCTGAGGCCATTCCACTAAGGAAAATCACGAGAGGAAAGTTATTATGGATATTGCAGGAGTTTGTCCGTGGTAAGCACAACTTGTTTGCTGATTGTCTTTCAAGGGTGGGCAGTCCATAAGTTTTGTGTTTAGCCAATGTGTAGCCCTGGCATACATTATATTTTGACTGCACTTTTTGTCATATTGGAGATGATTTTCGTTTGTTTTTACTTCTTCTCAAAATGTCAGTTTTAGGCAGCTATAGAAAGAAAATGCAAAAAAAATAAGGGGAAAAAAGATTGTCAAAAAAGTGTATTTAATTGTTGACAGCCAGTTTATAGTGGAGGAGGTGACCCATTTTAAGTAGCGACACATTTAAGCTGATCATGGACGTTTTTTTTCTTCTGTTGGTTAGGAGCAAACTTGTCCAACAAAAATATAGGATATATTTGTTTTCTTAAGGGGGAAGGTGTAAAGGCTTTGGGTTTTCCATTTATATTTCGAGGTTGGATGTTGGCATGTGGGGCGCATCGATTGGTGTCACCTCATTAGTCAGTATGTGTTACACCTGTGCTGGTTTGTCATCTCTTTAGTGTGAAGATGTTTCACCTGCTACAGTTGTATTAGATGGGACTTTGAAAAAAATTGAATTGCCAATCAAAATAAATGTTCTATCACATTGGCCATATTATTTTTGGGAAGCCCAATTTATTCAGAATTTGGGCTTATAAGATGTGTACTTTCAGATTTTCCAAACTCACTTCCTTGCTTAAATCACTTGCGCTGCACGCGCGCTGAAATCCACAATGTAGGGGGGTGGTTGTAAGGGTTATGCTAGATGTTTATGTACTGACAGGTCAGCCAATTAAAAACAAGCGGTTGTTTGGTCCGCTCCTGCCATAGGCTTTCATTCAAGTTCCATTCTGAGGCGCTGTGAAACCAGACGTTTTGACAGAGAGAGAGACACTTTAGTTCAAACACAACCTTTGTTTCTACAACCCAGTCTTTAGCCATGACTCTGGAGGGACCAGCTTAGTAAAGATCTAAACCACAACCAGCCAGTCAGGACCTCTGAGGTTGGCTCTCCCCAGGTTAGATTCACTTGTCCTGGGGTGTTAGGACAGACTAGACCCCCTCCCCCCTGGATGAACCAGAGTGGAGATAGGTTGTGCCTGCTGGGGTATTAGCCGTGGGGCAGCAGATGGCTAGTGGGCCCCATAGGTCATTCAAAGCCCAAAGTCGAGTGTCCCCCGCGCCAGTCAGACGAGCCTCCTTGGAGAATTGGGCCCCATCGCAGTACCCCCCTAACACATACACACACACCCCACTGATTTACTCAGTTGGTTGAGGCCAGGTGTGGTGTTAACAATATCATGCTTGTGGGTTGGACCCCAGCTAAGGCCTCTTAAGACACCTCTTCAATTGTTAATGCTACTACCATACTGGGGTTCCAAAACTCAGTCCAAAAAGAGCTTCAAAAGCACTTGTCATATTTCAACCCTTGTATCCTTTCTCACTTTTTCTGTATTGACATTGTGTACATGCATACTGGAATTACAATCACTCTCGCTAAGGGATATGCTCACTCAATGTTGAAAGACATGGATACAAATTGATACATTATCCCATATGGATACAATATCTACCACACCCCACCCATCCACCCCCCATACACACACCATCCACCCATCCCCCATACACACACTACCCACCTTTCCCCCATAAACACACTACCCACCTTCCCCCATAAACACACCATCCCCCCATCCCCCCATACACACACTACCCACCCTTCCCCCATAAACACACCATCCCCCCATACACACCAAAAACACACACCCTCCCTCCTTATTTATTCTACTGATTACGTCTTGGGCCTGCAATTTTAAAAAGTCCATAAATTTGCATAGCAATATTAATCTAATTAGAAATCCCACTGTTTCAGTTAAGGGTGGAGAGATTGAAATAGAAAATCACCCGCGGCCATGATTACTTCTTAATTAAATATTTCAATTTGTAAAAATTCTCCCTTTCCCATTTGATTTATTAGGACTAGGGTGGATAGTCTGGAAATGAAGTAGGGTTGATGTCTCTATAATATAGTATTAAGATATCTAAGAACCTTTTTCCTGTGGTTCATTTTGTTCAGGTGCTGACTGGGTCATCTATTGTGTGATTTGAGGTTCCTTAATGTCTAATTTGGTATAAAGACGCCACAGTCATACTCTCTCCTCCAGATATACATGGAGAGAAAAGGTGTGGGATGGTGATGGAGGTACACAGAGACAAAAATAGGTAGATGTAGAGACTTTGAGTGTGTGACATTATGAACAGGACTTGTCCATTCGTCTATATGACTATCCTCTCCTCGCATTTCCTAAATACTTCCGACCTGATCTTAACATTGGGGCATATGTACACCTCCACAATGAGCACTTGCACTTACATCTCCTGATGAAAAATGTTGGCCAAAGCTAGCAGTTAATCATTGAAGAGAGCAGTGAAGAGCGTCCACATTGAATCAAATCAAATCAAATTTAATTTGTCACATGCGCCGAGTACAACTGGTGTTGACCTTACAGTGAAATGCTTACTTACAAGCCCTTAATTAACAATGCAGTTTTAAGAAAGAATACCAACAAAAATCACAGAAAAATACAATATAAAATAATATGAAATAAAAGTAACAAATAATTAAAGAGCAACAGTAAAAATAACAATAGCGAGGCTATATACAGGGTGGTACCGGTGCAGTCAATGTGCGGGGGCACCGGCTAGTCGAGGTAATTGAGGTAATATGTACATATGGGTAGAGTTAAAGTGACTATGCATAAATAATAAACAGAGTAGCAGCAGCGTAAAAGATGGGAGTGGGGGGTAGTGCAAATAGTCTGGGTAGCCATGATTAGCTGTTCAGAAGTCTTATGGCTTGGGAGTAGAAGCTGTTGAGAAGCCTTTTGGACCTAGACTTGGCGCTCCGATACCGCTTGCCGTGATGTAGCAGTGAGAACAGTCTATGACTAGGGTGGCTGGAGTCTTTGACAATTTTGAGGGCCTTCCTCTGACACCGCCTGGTATAGAGGTCCTGGATGGCAGGAAGCTTGGCCCCAGTGATGTACTGGGTCATACGCACTACCCTCTGTAGTGCCTTGCGGTCGGAGGCCGAGCAGTTGCCATACCAGGCAGTGATGCTACCAGTCAGGATGCTCTCGATGGTGCAGCTGTAGAACCTTTTGAGGATCTGATGACCCATGCCAAATCTTTTCAGTCTCCTTAGGGGGAATAGGTTTTGTCGTGCCCTCTTTACGACTGTCTTGGTGTGCTTGGACCATGTTAATTTGTTGGTGATGTCAACACCAAGGAACTTGAAGCTCTCAACCTGCTACACAACAGCCCCATCGATGAGAATGGGGGCGTGCTCGGCCCTCTTCTTTTTCTTGTAGTCCACAATCATCTCCTTTTGTCTTGATCACGTTGAGGGAGAGGTTGTTGTCCTGGCACCACACGGCCAGGTCTCTGAAGGTATTTATCGTCCTGCTATTTTCACCTTTAAAAAACACTATTCATTTGAAATAAAACACACCTTCAGAATAAGTCATTTGATCAATTCTACAATGTTAAATACATTACACCTCAAAGCGATAGAGGTTTGAAGCTTTTATAAAAGAACCAGACCACAGCTAGTGCTACCGTGGCTCTAAGGTTAGCTTAGCTCGATTAGCATTTGAA